TTGGTTACTGCAAGAGTTTACCAGCAAAGATGTTCATATGAATGATCTTAACTGTATTTATATGCATTGTATGTAAGCCGCCCTGAGCCTGCTTCGGCGGGGAGGGCGGGGTATAAATTGAATGAATGAATGAATGGAGCCCCCAGGCCCGTGTCTGAGAGCCATGGGTCTGCCCCTCCGGCCTGCGACTTGCTGTACCGTATCCTGAAGGGCTCCGGATGACTCGACAAGGACGGGTTGCCAATCCCCAGGCGGCGGCGGGAGATCTCCCGGGACTCCAACTGATCACCAGGGGACAGAGATCAGTACCCCTGGAGAAAATGGCCGCATTGGAAATTAGACTCTTATGGCATTATCCCCCATTGAAGTCCCTCCCCTCCCCAAACCCCGCCCTCGTCAAGCTCCACCCCCCAAATGTCCAGGTGTTTCGCAACCCGGAGCTGGCAACCCTACGAAGAAGGTCTTTGGATTTAGCGCTCTATAGTGCGCACGCTTTGCGCGTGTGCGTTCCAAAATAAAGACGCTCCTCTTGTCCTCGGGCCACCCTTGCAATAACGGGCGGGCAGAGCAAGAACCGGCCCAGATCCGGTGCTTCTAAGCAAGTGCTTAACCCCCTCCCCTGGGCCCATCCTCTTGAAAAACCGCAGGACTTCGTGTGGGTGATAACCAGTTTCTTTCACTCATCAATTGGACTTCATGTATTTACTTTATTCTTTCATACTCCATCTATTTTCTCAGGGGGGACCCCAAAAGCACCTCGCATCCGTCTCCACTTCTCTGCTTTATCCTCACAACAACCCTGTGAGGTAGGTGAGACTGAGAATGTGTGTATGACTGGCCCAAGGTCAGGCAGCGAGCTCCCAAGGCAGGAGTGAGGATTCGCACCTGGATCTTCCAGATACTAGTCCCACACTCTTAACCACTACAGCCACACTGAATACTTGATAAGTCCTCTCCTCTTCCTTTCACTGGGCCTAGAGAGAAAAAAACAAGAAATACAGTCGCTCTCTTGCTCCATCAATCCTCTGCATACTTTCTCCATGACTACAAGTCGTCGTCGTTCCCCGCAGTGATCAGGAGATATAAAAGTTGTTGGTTTTTTTTAAATAAAGTTCTGCCTTGGTTGTCTCAGCTGGAACTTAAGCCGTCCCCACTACCTCGCCTGTTTCTTCCGGGTCAGCGACAGGCCAGGCGCTGCGCAGAGAATACAAACTGACATGACTTCTGGGCCTTGAAAAACACCCACGTGCTGAAGGCTCGTTCTTTTCAATGAAGAAGCAGAAGAGAGAAGACATTGGATACACACCCCGCCCTTCACTACCCAAAGGTGTCTCAGAGCGGCTGACAAACTCCTTTCCCTTCCCCTCCCCACAACAGACACCCCTGTGAGGTAGGCGGGGCTGAGAGAGCTCTTGACAGAAACTGCTCTTTTTCAAGGACAGCTCTTATCAGAACTACGGCTTGCCCAAGGTCATCCAGCCAGGTGCAAGTGGAGGCGTGGGGCATCAAACCCGGTTCTCCCAGATTAGAGTCCGCGCAGTTAACCACTACACCAAACTGGCTCTCAGGGCCCCGATCCTGAAAGATTGGATCACAGCTGCCCTTGGACTTGCAATCCTATGCGTGCTGCGCTGGAAGCAGGGATCCTTGGAGGGCCCCCCGGCTTACTCGCGAGTAAACGCGCGCTGGCTCGGCCTGCGCTTCTCCCGAGGATGAAGGCGATATCCCCAATCCCCGCTCAGAAGATAACGGGCTCCGCTTTCCTGCCGCTGCCTCGCTCTCCCTCTCCCATGGCCTCAGTCGATCCATCTGGGAAAGGGGCGCAACAATAGCCTTTCCTTCCTAGGCCTTTCCTGAAGGTCAGATCAGAGGCTGCCATGCCAAATAGTTGCAACACAGCGGCATGTTCACTCAGAAGTAGACGCCACTGCGCCACAAACAGGACGCCTCAGTAAATGTATGCAAAGACCACCACCACCCCGCTTTTATTTCCCTCTATTGTTAGTCATGCCGGCCACATGACCACGGAAACGTCTTCGGACAGCGCTGGTTCTTCGGCTTTGAAACGGAGATGAGCACTGCAACCCTAGAGTCGGATTCGACTGGCTTTCGAGCAAGGGAACCCTGTACCTTTACTATTACTTTACCTCCAGTTTTAGCTTGTAAATGGCTTGGGGCAGAAACGTGGCTTGCTGTTAGTTATTGAGCAACGTTCGAGTCCAGGGGCACCTTTAAGACCAACAGAATTCAATTCTGGGTACATGCTTTCCTGCGCAAGCACACTTCTTGTTGTGTGTGTGTGTTTTGCTTTGCAGAGCCGGGGTGGTGTAGGGGTTAAAGTGCTGGGCTAGGATGTAGGAAGTCCAGGTTGAAATCCCCACTCCTACCTAAACCCTACCTCGCAGGGCTGTTGTGAGGATAAACGGGAGGAGAGGAGGAGGATGTAAGCCGCTTTGGATCCCAATTGGTGGGGTATACATCAAGTAAAAGTTTTCAAAAGTACAGTACATTAAGTGCCTAACTCCTCCTGCACGGTGATTTGTGGGTAGGATTTCAGTCTTCCCCGGGAGTGAAAGTCATTCAAGTGCCGAGAGATTTCCTTTTCAAATAAACACATTTGGGATTGGTCGTATTTGTATGTTGGTCTGTTTCCCTCCAGGAACCTCCCAGTAGTCGCGCACATGGGGGGCGCAGGGGTTCTCTCAGGTCTCCTCCAAGCCATAGCCTCGCACGCCAACTGCGCATCCCAAAGCCTCCCCCGTCGAGTTCCCAGTATGGCCCATCCCGTTCCATCCCTGACGATCCACGGTGGTTTAGCAGCGAGGTCAGACTAGGACCAGTGTCCCCTCTAAGCTGCGTTAGTGTGAGCTAGCTCACAGTTTTTTAGCCTCCGGCTCATACATTTTTGCCTTAGCTCAGGAAGGATGGCTCCAAAGCAAGCTGATTTATATAGTAGCCAAATTGCCTGCTCGCAACTTTAATGCCAGTAGCTCACAAAGTCGAATTTTTGCTCATAGGACTCCACAGCTTAGAGGGAACATTGACTAGGACTGGGGAGAATCCCCCTCCCCCGCCGCCCTGAAGTTCAATAGATAACCTTGAGCCCCCCCCCCTATTTTTGCTGTCAGGTCTCAGCTGATTTATGGAGACCCCGAGGGGTTTTCAGGGCAAGAGACATTCAGAGGTGGTTTTGCCATTACCTGCCTCTGCGTCACCACCCTGGACTTCCTTGGTGGGCTCCTAGCCAAGAACTACTGAAAGCTGACCCTTGCTTAGCTTCTGGGATCTGACAAGATCGGGCTAGCCTTGGCAGCAAGCCCCTACGATCTGTCTTTCGGCCTTAACCTTCCCCGCAAGGTTGTTGTGACGTCGAAATCAGGGAGGGGGAAAGTCATGTGTTGTTGGCAACCGGGGAGGGGATATGCAAACGCGAGAGGCGCGCGATTCTTTCCCTCCCCCAGTCATTCATCGGCTAGCTTCAAGATTCTCTAACCGGAGTACACATTTCCTTTTGCCTTGACCAATGCTTCCTCTAAGCTATGGAGTCCTGTGAGCAAAAATTCTACTTTGTGAGCACCTGGCATTAAAGTTGCGAGCGAGTGATTTGGCTACTGCATAAATAAGTTTGCTCTGGAGCCCTCCTTCCTGAGCTAAGACAAAAATATGTGAGCTGGAGGCTAAAAAACAGTGAGCTAGCTCACACTAACTCAGCTTAGAGGGAACACTGGCCTTGACCCTACTGCGATTTTCTTGGGTTTGTTTCTTTTCTGCATCCACGCCTACCATCCGAAGAAAGGCGCCAGCTGTACGCAAGAAGCGCGCAAAGTGAAGACGTCAATGTCGACTGGATCTGGAATTTTTTAAAAAATGGAAGGTGGCACACAGGACACCTTAAAGTTTTTCAGATTTGTTCCGTTTTTAGATTCCTGATCGGGCCCACAACTCTAATCCTATGGTCTTCTTGCTTAGTGACTACCCGTCCACACGCCTAATATTGTATCGATTCACTCTGTGTATTCCGCCTTGAGTCTCAACCGGAAAGGCGGACTAGGAATGACGTAAACAAAATGAAACAAATCAAAGTTTGACTGCAGTGGCACCTTTGAGACCAACAAAGTTTCAGTCTCGGGAATAAGCTTCCGTGCGCATGCACACTGTTTCTCCAGAGTAAAACCTTGCCGGTCTTAAAGGTGCCACTGGACTCCCAACTTCGCCCTACTGCTTCAGAGCAACGCGGCTGCCCACCTGAAAATAGATATTTTTAAAAGTTTCTTCGAGCGGCAAGACGCTGAAATTCCTCTAGAGCTGTTTTCCTAACTTGGGGAGGGGGTGTTTTGAAAAGGACGGCATCTGCTACCGGG